CCCAAGCCTACACCCGAGGACCCTAAGCCCACACCCAAAGACCCCAAGCCTACACCCGAGGACCCTAAGCCCACACCAAAAGACCCCAAGCCTACACCCGAGGACCCTAAGCCCACACCCAAAGACCCCAAACCTACACCTGAGGACCCTGAGCCTACACCTGAGGATCCTGCTCCCTTTCCCAAAGACACAACTTCTGTACCTACTACACCTGAAGTGACTACAATTGCTAAGGGTAAAGTAACTGAAAAAGATACACCTACTGCTCCCAAAATCACAGCTGTTCCACCTAAGGTGACAAGTACAACCACTGAAGTGACAACAAGAACAGTCAGTTCACCAAAAGTGACAACTAAAGTGACAACTACTACAGCTAAAGCAACAACTACTGCCACCAAAGTGACAACTACTACTGCTAAAGAAACAACTACCAAAGCTGAAGAAACAGCAACTGTATCAGATGAGAAAACTCCTCCTAAAGTGACAACTCCTACACCTAAAAAGCCAACTCCTAAAATGACAACCACCACAACCAAAGAGACAACTGCTATACCGGATGAGACTACTACTCCCCCTAAAGTCACTCCTAAGCCTAAAACGACAACTCCTGTCCCTAAAGTGACAACCACCACAACCAAAGAGACAACAACCACAACCAAAGAGACAACTGCTGTACCGGATGAGACTACTACTCCCCCTAAAGTCACCCCTAAGCCTAAAACGACTACTCCTGTCCCTAAAGTGACAACCACCACAACCAAAGAGACAACTACCACAACCAAAGCAACAACTGCTGTACCGGATGAGACTACTACTGCCCCCAAAGTCACCCCTAAACCTAAAAAAACTCCTGTCCCTAAAGTGACAACACTGAAACCAGTGAAGACAACAAAAAAGACACCCACAAAAGCCAAGGAAACAACCATGGTAACAAAAGACAGAACTACTCCTTTGGTTCCAACTCCTGACCCTAAAGTGACCAACAAGAAGACTGCATCTGCACCTAAGAAACCAGTAACTACACCTAAAATCACAACTACAAGTGAAGAGACATCAACAATGACTGAAGTGAACTCTACGCCACTGGCTGAGGCTATCCTTCAAACCATTCCTGGACCCAACAGAAGGCCAAACTCAGAAATAACAACCTCTCTTACTATAACAGAAGTCACTCCAAAGAATGAAAATGTAAATGTTTTTGAGCAGCAGAAGCCTTACCTGAATTCTAGGCCTCCTGTGTTTATTCCAATAGGTATCCCGGGTTCTAGCATCTATGGGGGAAGACCCAGTCAAGGCATTGTTAACTTGCCAATGCTTTCAGGTAATTTGAACAGTCTGATATTCTTCTATTTTCTGTATGTAATGATGACATGTCTACAAAATTACATTATCTGAATTGATTAGTGTTCAACATCAGGAAAATATACATTGCATCAGACTAGCCATGATAAGGATCAAAGGAAAAATGATAAGGTAGAACATCTGGAATTGGTTTATCTTGTTATCTTTGATAGATTTTGATTTGTCCAGGCTACTTCTAGAGGTCATCACCTGAAACTGGGAGATGGTGATTTTTATGTTATTCTTTAAAAGAATTAGGAAACTGGTAATGATATTTTGGTACTTTGTTGTTTTTTTTTTATATGAAACATTTGAGAGCAAATTATTGCCAATCCACTAAGAGTTTAATACATCTTGTCCACCTTAAAAATGGTAAAACAAGAAGCAAACACAAAAAGTGAGCTCACTAAAACTCCAAAAAAATACTTCAAAAAGTCTGTTACATAGGCATAATGACAGTTCATTAGTCAGTTTTTTCAGTAGTCTTGAGTTGAAGAACGCCGGTTTTTTTTACCAGCCACTCCTGTCATGTTTCTGGTATCTTGAAGCTGTCCACATTTGACATGTTTCTCTAGGTCAGCAGGAATCATCAGTCTTTTGAAACCAAGGCACTGAATGGTACGTTGACCATTCAGAGAGCCACGAAAGCTCATTACGAATAACTAACTCTTTAACAGCCCTACATTTCTTATACTGTCAAAAAAGTTGGTTGAACTTTAGTCTGCAGACTCCTTTAAACATTTCATCTTTTCAATGATATATTTTAAGAAATCTTCAACCCTACCACAAAAGGTGAAATGAAAACTTCAATACTTAATACTTCAGTAGTATTTAGTGGTAATACGTTAGTAGATCTGTGAACTATTTGATAAGGGTACTCCAGCCAACAGGTAGACCTTGAAACCTGCCCACGCCTTCTTATCTCATGCAGCATTTCTCCTTGTCCTCCAGTAAATGCTTCACAAGAAGCCCACCCACCATTCTTTGAGCCTTCTGAAAGAGGTCTTTAGATATTATATTGATTATATATTATATATTATATATATATCATATCATATTATATTGATTATATTTTATTGATACTACTGAGCACACAGCCTTTCTTTTTTCTGTACTTTCATCTCCCCTTGACTCCCCCTCCTCTTAGCCGCTTTCTCATTCGAGTACTGAGAAGAAAATACAAATGAATCCTGACATTCCTGGTAAAGATATCTGAATCAATTGCTTATTATTCTAATCAGTATTCTCTATGATTTTTTCCTTCCAGAACAATATTTCTGAGCCACCTCTCCCTAATGTGTGCTATCTTCTTCTATTAGAAAGTAAGATCCTTGAGGGCAGACTGTTTTGCTCTCTTGTATTTTTATCACTAGCATTTACCATGGTGCCTGGTACACAGTAGAATATGAACTGGACTGATGATTTCATTGGTATAGGGAACTAACTCCTGGTGAGGAAACTCTACCTATAAAGGTTGGCATTTTTGTTGCAGCTTATAGCTCTAGAGAGTTGACTAGAATTAAGAGAGATTAAGTGAGTTGCCCAGGGTTACATAGCCACTATGAGTCAGAATTCTTCCTGTCCAATTTCCATCTATTATGTCATGCTGCCTTTAGTAAGTCCTTAATCAATGCTTTTTTCATTCATTTTCATTCATTCATTCATTTCATTTTCCTTAGCTCTTTTATAGTCATAATTTTTTGATAATCTCTTTTATGCCACTTCTTGTATATACTTCTTTACTAGTAAAGTGTTTAGTCTACTAACATGCACTACATAGCTCTCTATTGCCTTGGAATAACCTATAATTATGATTCTTTGGAGATAGAGGTATTTATTCCATGAGTCATAATGGAAACCTATTGGATTTAAAAAATGGTTTTTTTTGTTTCAAAGAAAATCTTGGGGTCATTTAAAGCAGTGCGAAATTTCCCAAATGCAAGTTAGACTGCTATTTTTACTCCTTTTCAGTTCTGGGCCTAATTTATTGCCCATCTGAACTGAACAACAACAAAACAATTGCAGAACTGAACAACAACAAAAAACAAAGATTTTCCACATTGGGTTAAAGTATCCTCATAGAATCACAAAGTTTTAGGTTTGGATTCAGAAATCAGCTAAAGGTCCAAGATGCTCATTCCATAGGAGGAAACTGAAGCCAACTGGTTATTTGTCCAAGGCCACATAACTAGGGAGTATCAGTCAGGCCTAGAACCTAGGGCTCCCGACTATATTTAGATTCCATGAAAAAGAGCTTTAAACTCACTTGGTTGGTCTAAGTTTAACTTTAGTGGAATACTTTCTAAACAGAATAGAATTATGAAATATATGATCATCATCTTTGAAATCCAATTCTATCCCTTCTGTTTCGAATTATGTTATCTAAAAGCAGAAATTATGATGAAAAAAAAGCCACTGAATGTTGTAGAATCTAGAGGAAGGAATGAAAAAAAAATTACTTTTTGTTATGTTTTACATTCTCCTTCTTTTCTCCACCTTGTTCTCCCACTAACGTATACTTTATACTGATTATTTCAGATGAGACTAACTTATGCAATGGCAAGCCAGTAGATGGACTGACTACTTTGCGCAATGGGACACTGGTCGCATTTCGAGGTAAGCTGAACATAAAAAATACTCTTTCCTCACTGTTTGACTTTGTGGCTTTTATGAGAATACCACAGCTGTGAAATATTGTCCTGGCGGCGGGGCATCATTGGATCTACTCATTGGAAAAGACTCATATAATGCTTCCAGACACTGAGACTTTCAGATACTGTCTTTGTAAAATATGCTGTATCAAATATGTGGTTGCCTACCCGGAGCCTGAAGTGAAATAAATGCATTCAGAGATGCATTCAAAATACTTGGGCAGGTAGGATATTTCTCCTCTGCTCATGAGGTTGTGTCACTTTCATTTCATGCTGATTAGAATGACTTCAAAATTTCTATTTCCTGCCTTTCTTTTGGAAAAATGTCACTAAAGCTTGATGCATAGATGTAGGTATATCAAAAAGGCAGGAAGGGAAGTGGATGAGTTGTTCAAGGTCACAGCTAGATGGTTGCAACATAAATTTCAGTTCTATCATAATCCTTATTCCATATATTTGCACCTCAGTGCTTGCTTCACAGATTCATTAGTTTTTCTGCTCTAGGTATCCTCTCTTCCTATACAGGCTGCAACCCAATACACCTTACTAGATAATCTTCGTGAATTGATGTGACTAAAAATGCCATCATCTTGTGTCCAACCTTCTGGGCTTAGGCCTCTTTGAAAAAAACTAGTTGGTCCTTGGACAACTGATGTAGTCTGTTGCCAGGATGGTACTCAAAGCCTTGCCACCTTAGTAGAACCTACTAGGGCTTGACCTCTGCTGGCATTGCTTTCAAGGACCCAGCGCCATTGTTATCACATCAAGATAAAGGTGTTGGAGTTGGACTTTAATGGATAATAGCCATATTTACCTTGTAAGCATCAGATTATTTTCAATCTGGAGACCTAAATTATCAATCCTTTTCTGAAAACCCCTCAAACTTATCTCTTGAGAAATTTTAATAGCTGTACTAGTGTAATTTTGAAAATGTTAAGATTTTCATGTTGGACAAGAATTCCTAATAGTGCTAATACTTTTTATCCATATATTGATTTCTATTTTTCTAAAATGTTTTCATGCATACAAGGATGGTTGCCTTGAAGAAGTTTCAATTGTAAACTGGCTTTTGGGATAAAATTAAGTGACTATGTTTACTCTTTTCTTACATGTTTAGGTCATTATTTCTGGTTGTTGAATCCATCCACTCCCCCATCACCAGCTCGAAGAATTACTGAGGTTTGGGGTATCCCTTCTCCCATTGACACTGTCTTTACTAGATGTAACTGTGAAGGAAAAACTTTCTTTTTTAAGGTGAGTAAAATAATTTACCAAAAGAAAAATGGCAGCAGTAATTTTGCTCATTGATGTATTACTGGTCATGAGGGTTCAAAAAGATAGGCTAACATTAAGTATCACAGAACAATCCTACTCTTAAGTTTTTGTTCACCGATATTTAATGATAAGAACAACAAAGTCTAAAGATTACCCAGTTAATGAACTGTGTTTCTAGATTCTTTCTCCTTTTATTTATAAAAAGATGAGCTGTATCTGTAGGCATAAAATTAGATTTAATCTTAGTAGACACATATTTAATGGTTCATCAGTATCCAGAAATGGGGAACTTGTGGCCTTGAGGCCATATGTGGCCTTCTAGGTCCTTGGATGCTAGGTCCTTTGAGTTCAAGTTTTACAGAACAAATCCTTTTATTAAGGGGATTTGTTCTGTGAAGTTTGGATTCAGTCAAAGGGCCGCACTTGAGGACCTAGCGGGACACATGTGACCTTGAGGCCGCAGGTTCCCCACCCCTGTTCCTCCACCAATAACTGAAAACCATCTAAACCTCTACACATGCTTTCATGAGTTTCTCTAGCCAAAAATAAACAACACAAAAATATACATGTAGCTGTAAAATTTTTGGTAATGGGCCTCTTTAAACACAGTGAGGCTGTTCCTCAAATGGCATATATTCACTGGACCCATACTGGGCCATTTCTAGCTTGGTAGGACCCGTTGAATTTGTGCTCTGCCCTCCACATTGTAACTCCTATGTCCTAAAATATTCCAGTAATACTTAGTATTTCTCTCCCCCTCCACACCTCTACCCCTTTCATCTACTCTTCATTCCTGTCAAGTTGGTCTAACTATTCCCCATACATGTCAGTCTATTTCTTCCTTTGGTCCCTTTGCACAGATGCATCAGGTCCAGAATGCACACCCTTAACTCCATTTTATAGAATCCCTAACCACTCAGATGCTACTTCCTAAAGGAGGCTTTTTCTGACACAAACTTCTCCCTACTACTAGGTACAAGAAGACTTTCTCTTATTTGTTCATGTATACATTGTATTATTAATAGAATGCAATCTCCCTGAAGGCAGAAACTATTTAGTTTTGTCTATTTCTCAACACGTAGCAACACACAGACACTCTATGGTTATTTAATGTATTGAAATTGTTGATTGCATCATATTTTGGAAAGGGCACTGGATTTACATTTCATTACCTAGCTCCTTATTTTAATACCTGTTTGACTTTGGACAAGTCACTTAATCCAGTTTCTTTATCTGTAAAATGAGGAGCTGGACTGGTTGACCTCTAGGTCCTTCCAGCATACGTCTATGAATCTGTGATCCTAAATGAATTTGAATTACCTCTGTACCATGATGAAGCAGTAGTAGGAGATAACTTACAAAAAATAGCTTCCACTAAGATAAAGGTTTTACCTTAGGCATTTAATTAAGAAAGTATTTATTAAATTCCCTTCTCCCTGCTCCCTGCCCCCTACCCCCTAATCTACTAATATTTTGTTATCATGTATTAGGATTCTCAGTACTGGAGATTCACCAATGATGTAAAAGATCCAGGTTATCCTAAACCAATTGTTAAAGGATTTGGAGGTCTAAATGGGAAAATAGTGGCAGCTCTATCAATAGCAAAATACAAGAACAGGCCGGAATCTGTGTATTTTTTCAAGAAAGGTACGTAGAGTTTAAATTATCCGCAGAATTATGACACTTAAGATTTCTACAAAAATCAACATAATGGACAGTGAAGCTTTGGTTGCCAGGGAAACATACATCTACTTAACTTCTGTATTTATTACTAGGTTTACTGATACCAAAGCTATAGCTGCCTTGTAGATAAGGGAGTACTAGCCTGGGAGTCAAAGGACTGGGTTCTAGTGCCCACTAGATTTGCTGCTCTACCATTAATTTGCTGCCTGATCTTTGTAAAGTTACATATAATTTTTAGGCTTCAATTTTCCTGATTCATAAAACAAAGGGGCTATAAATATGTTGAACTACAAGTTCCTCTCTCTGCTAATTATTTTAATAACTTTTATGATTTTAATGTAATGCCTCTTGGAATAATTTTTTTGGGGTGCTTAAAACATAAGAGACACGAATAACCAGTTAAACTGTGAAAGCTACTTTTTTATCTTTTCCTAAATGAACAACTTTCACAACATAATCTATTTCCATATTAGGTGGCACCATTCAACAGTATACTTATCAACAGGAACCAACTAAAAAGTGTTCTAGAAGAAGATCCACTATAAACTATTCAGTTTATGGAGAACCCACCCAAATCAGGAGGCGTCGCTATGAGCGGGCTATCATTTCCTCCCAAACACATACCATTAGAATAAGCTATTCACCCGTCAGAGTTACTTATCAAAAAGGTAAACCACACATTTTGTTACATATGTTGTGTTAGGAATGAAAGTTTAAATGATTGTTGTTTGGCTTCATATAGTAAGGCTATGCATAAACACCTAAGCAGTCTGAATTGGGGGATCTGGAATTCAAGATTATGCCACGACTTACGTTATTTGGTACAAAACCTTTATTCCCAGAAATTACACAAAGGTCAGTGTTATGCTGTCCCTACTTCACTTCTCTGCCTGGGAAAGGGGTCATTTACTCAGGTTGGCTTGATTTAAGTTTATGGTCTACTTACTCAAATATCTTTTGTGATATAAAAAATGTATCTCACACACACAGGTTTCCTGCATAATGAAGTTAAAGTGAATACAGCTTGGAGAGGCCTTCCAAACATGGTTACCTCAGCTATAGCACTGCCTAACATTAGAAAACCTGATGGTTATGATTACTATGCCTTTTCTAAAGGTAAGTGATTAAGATAAATCTTAATGGCTACATGAGCTGACTATTCAACCACGAATAACTCAAAGACAGACAATTGTAAACTGGTGACTAGAGAGATAAGATCTAAACATCCTTGCTACAACCATTTAAATTCAATTTAGGTATAGAAAATTGTATCCTATCATCTCGGAGATTAGAACTCTGTAAAGTTAAATAAGAGTAATCTGAGTAAAATTTTGTAGATTCAGCCTGACATCTGTAAAGCTTTACTGCAAATTTCAGTATATAGAGTATACTGATTTAAGTTTGCTAAATTCATTTAATTTGCCTAAGGATTTTCCTCCAGTTCATCATTATTTTACAGATTAGTGCGGATACTTTTTTGAAGGGTGGGTAGAATAGTTTGACATATGACATGTAAATGAATTAAAAAAGGATTTCATTTGCTGGTTTAAAGTAAGAAAATTTGGGTTCAAATCCCAGCTCTTTCACTTACTATCTGAAGGACATTGGGAAAGTCATTTAACCTATCTGGGCCTCAGTTTCCCATTTATTTATTTTTAGGCAATTGGGATTAAGTGACTTGCCCAGGATCACACAGCTAGTAAGCGTCAAGTGTTTGGTCTGAGGCCGGATTTGAACTCAGGTCCTCCTGACTTCAGGGCCAGTGCTCTATCCACTGTGCCACCTAGCTGCCCCCTCAGTTTCCTATTTATAAAATGACAGGGTTGGACCACATGACCATAGGTCTATATGACTCTTATAATTGTGAAAAATGTTCATTTAGAAATTATTAACAGTTGCATATCTGAAATGTAGTAAAAGCTCATATTTCAAACAATTAAGTGTCTTGTTCATCAGAAAATTTGAATAATCAAATGGGAAAAAGGGCTTTAGTGGGATAATAAAAACAAATTATCCCTATTTTATTAAAAACTTTTTCTTTTCATCTAGATCGATATTATAACATTGATGTGCCTAGCAGAACAGCAAACTTAATCATCACCCGTTCTGGACAGACACTATCCAATGCCTGGTATAAATGTCCATAAGTCTGATTTCAAAAGATATGAATAACTTAAAAGAAAATAATATTTTGACACAAAAATGATTTTATTAATAAAGTTGTTGAAATGTGTGCATACCAATTTAAGTACAAAGCACGTTTAACCTCAGCAATCATTACACTAAAACAGTAGCACATTTGACAGTCTTATTCACAACTACAATAATAGTTTACAAAACCTTTAATTTATATTTCCTCTGTTTAATCCTCCTCTGCCTCCCATTGCATGGGTCACACCTGTAGGAGGAAAAAAAAAAGAAGCAAATATAAATATTCCCTTTTAAAAAAAAATCTATCAACAACGGTGTCAGATTTTTTCACTCTATTTTTACGATTGGCTAGAATGCAATCGATTTCCAGTTTTTATTACTGTTACATATTTAAAAGTAAGTTTTACATTTTTATGACACTAAGACTCAGCATACAATTTCTGTGTAGGAAAGTAGGATAAGGGAACTATTAAAAGACTCCTCCATCTTTGTATTAGTTAGGCAGAATCACCTAAAAATACTTTCATTTGTTATATGTAAAGAGGAAAGAAGGGAAGTGATGGTTAAAGATCAGATGCAACATTTTAATTTTTCAAATTTTATTTTAGATGAGGAAAGAACATGATAGAATACTGTGTCATCAGTTAAATGTAATGATGCAATAACCCTCTTTCCCCAAATTAGCCCCTAAAGCACACATATTTGGTAGATGATGTTAATCTGCTCAGGTTTAGGACACTTGCTCTGATTCATATGAACTATTTCTCCCTCCTGCCCCTCCACCCAACCACATTCCTAGTCATGAAAGAATCTTACCTCTTTGTCGGTTAAACTGACGACCCCGGACCCCCGTTCTCAAAGTCTGAGGCTGAAGCCTGACTCGTCTGAAAGGCTTAGGTTGACTACTGCTAGTATCTGAGAAGAGAAGATAGATTAGATGAGTTTGTCACTGAAGCAAAAGCTAAATGCATGAATGGATAAAACTGCAAACAAATGTCCTTTAGATTTAATGTTTTTAAAAACTATTTAATCATGTAATATGTTGACTTTTAAAAAACTAAATAAAAACCTCAGAATGAAAAAAGTGCTTACCTTTTTTCTTTGACTTTTAAATATTATTTGGTTAACTGAACGATATTAATTTCACACAAAAAAACCTTCAAAGGAGTGAACTATTTTATCTATTCTAAACAACTGTTAAGAATTATTACTGTGATTTCTTGAGTCAAAATAATTTATCAAGAAAACCACTACATTTTTGTTTCATTTGTTCTTTCTTTAAAATATCTTGATCTTAAATGACTAGTTCCTTTCTCTTAAAGTGAATGTCTCATGAAGGGGAAAGGGCTCAGATTTCCTAATTATTTCAATAAATATTTAAAAACTATTTCTATGAACTTTACATGCTACATATAGATAGTCACAAATGCTTTGAAGTTTGCTTCACATTTATATTTCTTAGGGAAAAAACCTCTTGGGGGGGAGGGGAGGGGAGAACATCAAAATAGTCTGTACATATTCCTAAACTTTGGCAATGGAAGAAAGCATTGGTGGTAACAGAAAATTTCAGAAAGACTACAAATAATACAAGTTAGGCAACAGTGGACAGGAGGAAATACGCTTTAAATTTGAGTGCTACTAAGAAGTGCCCTGAATTTCCAGAAGAAATTCAGGAAAAAGAAAAGAAGCTACTTTTCAAGGCTGTGTGTGTGTGTGTGTGTGTGCACGCACGTGCATGCACATGCATGTATATGAGAAAGTGCTGCTGTTGGGGAGTTGAGAGACATGAATTTAAGCCCTGCATCTGACACTTAGTAGCAGTGCGACAAGTGGGATGGTCACTTAACTTCTAAATGCCTCAGTTTTCTCATCTGTGAAATGGAAATAATACTTTTCACACTCTTGCTGTGAAGATAAAAATGAGAAAATACATGGAGAGTACTCTGTAAATCTTACAGTGCAATATAAATATCAGCAATTATTATGTTCCTGTAGTATAGTACTATAGAGGCTTTATCCCCTTCTTTTTTGTAATTGGCCTAGAAAATCCTAGAAGGCAATATTACAAAACCTGATGACTTGTTCTTTCCTCTAATGCTGGATCACCTAACAAGGGGTGAGTTTTATGACACCACAAAATGGGGGGTGGGTGGGTTTGGACCAATAAAATAATCCACAGAGCAAAAAAATACTCTGAACAGATCACTGAGGGATCAATATATTAATATATCAATGACTGAAACAAATCTATCTTAAAACTAAGAAATAACTTTGAAGTTTTAGAAGAATACAGCTTATGTTTATATAGAATTCTAGTTACAAAATACCCTATATGTTTCAATAAGCCTTAAAACAAAGTACAAAATGTTATTTTACAGATGTAGACATGGGAACTCAGAGGAATTAAGTCATAAGGTCACAAAATTAATAAGCAGAGGAGCTGAGATGTTATTCAGTATATAAACTTAGTTCTACTTATTTCCAAGCTCTTCTATTGTTCATACCCTTTGGGATCTTCAAGAAACTTCAAAAATTTGAAAAGGCAAATTTTTAAACTAGTTGAATAAATGAATGATTCAGCAACTTATTATTTCTTGATTCATTCATCACTTCTGAAGGTCTGAAGCATGTGCTACTCCTGCCCAATAAACAGAAAACTTTTGCAACAGTGACTTCAAAATGAACTCGATGTTCCTCTACTTAATGGTGTATATCTGTATACATACATCTATATATGTAAGCACATACAAAAATAAGTAAGCCTGTGATAGAAACAGTGTAAGTGCATTAAAGAGATCTTTGATTTGGGTTTGAGTTCTGCCTCAGACACTTACTAATTGTGTAATCATGGGTAAAGTCACTTAATTTCTCAGAACCTCCATTTCCTTGTCTTTAAAATTTGAATACTACTCCTTTCACTGCATCTCACAGGGTTGTAGTGAAGAAAACGCTCTGAAAGACCTAAAGCATGATACAAGTAAACATGTGTTGTTATTATCATTAATTAGAAGAGGCTGTATTAAGTGCAGGTTGGCTGCATCTCTGTTCTAGTCAAAGTGACAGAATGTACCTGCAGAGGAACTGGACGGAGGATCTTGGCTGGTAGAAGGAAGATCAGACTCATCAGATGCCTGAACAGGTTCTTCCTCCTGCTGACTATCAATTTCTAGGCCTGTTTCCGAACTAATTCTAATGGAGGAAAAAAAAAGGGAACTCATCAGAAACTACAAAAGTGCTTCTAGTGGTAAAATGCTAAACCAGTTAACTAAACGCTGATAAAGAGATTATAGCTTGTAAATATTGCATAAAGGCAAAATCTTTCTCAAGCATTCAGAGAGGCCACTTTGCTAGATGATCATTAAGGATCCTTCCATTCTGAATTTTATGATGTATATAATCAGTTCATGTGCAAAATATATTAAATCCTTATGGAAATTCCTCTAGATTTTCTTCCAATAGTAACAAGACAAGGAGTAGCCTGGCACAGTAGATGGAATGCAGCCTTGCATCAGATATAGTTGGACCTATACTGGCTACATGATGAGGGGCAGTTTATCAGCAGGTAGGTCACTTAACCTTTCAGTGCCCCAGGAAACTCTCTAGGCCAATTTGTAAAGCAGTTGCTGATCTGCAGCAGTGAAAGGAGTTTTCCACAAAGATGGTTCAGGACAAACTGCACCCCAATCCCAAACCCCTCCCCAAAGCCCCCTTTTTCCTTTATCTAGTAAGATTTCCTAATCTTTGATTCTATCCTTTATTTTAATATTAAGCTATGTTTTCCTTTTCTCTGAAACCACACAGGCTTCAAAGGGAAGGATTCTGAAAGTCATAAAAAGTTGGTTGTCAGGACCAGTATTTTACAAAGTATTTTAGTGTTATTTCAAGTACTAAAAGACATTCTTAGTTATGAATGACTTGACTATATAGTTTGTGGATTATCCAGATCCCCTGCTTCTTTTTCCTTGGGCTTTTTGGTAATTTGAATGCTCATTTGCACCCCCACAGAGAAATAAAAGGGCTTTAAATACTCAGTAATGAATTAAATTCCTGGTAAATACCTCTTGATGAAGTAACTTTTCTTACTCAAACATGTGATTTTTATATTATCCATGTATTTAAAATTATCCTTTTCCTTCATTACCACAATCAAATAAAGCTGGTTACAACTTAATTTCATGCTATTTTTCAAGCTTAAAACCTATTTAGTTAGTACTAGTAGCACTTCTCTATCACCCAAACTACCAGAAAGCCAGGCTATAGAGCCATTTTGCAGGCAATAAAAATGCTATTTTAAGATTTGCATTTAATGGTTTTTTTCCCCCTCATATACCATACAAAGAAATGTCGATGAGAAATATTTGATCATGCACTGAAATGTGGTTCTGATAAGAAAAAAAATCCCCCAAAACAACAACAAAAAACTGAGTGCATCTAAGGGAAATTTCATGCAATGTGTTTTAGTGCTGACGCCATTAAGGCACCATTGTTAACTAAAGCAACAAACAGGAAGAATATACATGATGAAAACAATTCCTTTTCATAGAGGCAACATTCAACATTCTAGGTAGCTGGGTAGTGATTATTATTACTATTTTTTGGTTTAAATGTGTGTCCATGAGGCCCAATGACTTACTCAAATTTTCAGTCACAGAATCATATATACAGCAATCAGCATTGCTGATGCCTAACTATCACAGAGTAACTGACAAACTCAAGGGAAGCTCATTTTCACAGCTCTATAATAATGTGAATCTGCCAATTCTCATCAAGGTATGAGGGAAAAAAACACTGCATCAAAATTTTACAGCTCAAAGTTACCGTAGAAATCACAAAGCTCACTCCCTTAATTTTACAGATGAAATAAAGGTTAACTTGGTCAAGGCTTCCCACTGAATAACTGGCAGAACTGGGGACTTCAATTGGGACTTTTCAGATTGCCTTCTTGGGACTCTTTCACTACAGTGCCCCTTAGAACTACTAAAGTAAAAAAACCAAGATTACTAGTATGTCCTAAAATAAACC